CTCCAATACAAATAAAGCAAAAGTAACTAAATAAAGTTCTCACTCACTACACTAAGTAGAGCAAATCTAACTATGAACCTAAAGGGCCAGGCTAACCTACCTAGGTTTCACCTACGCGGTTCTTCAGGGTACACTGGCTCTTTAGGTTCATAGTTATTATATATATATATATATATATATATATATATATATATCCGTGAGTGAAAAGGATAATAGTTCTTTTTATATAAAATACTAAGATGGATCCACGAAGAGAACACAATGCATAGTAGACAGATCAATATGTATATGTGTGACTATATGTTTTGTTTTATATATTCCTTTATTTTATTTAAATTGTTTTCTGTATGTTAATTCATTTTTTCTTCCCCCTTTTATATACGTATATGTATGTGTACATCTGTATCAGTGTGTGTGTGTGTGTGTATATGTTAGCTGTTAAAGCTTTCTCCCAACCATCAATTAGAATGGAGCAAAAACTGCATCCTTTTTAGATATAACAGAGTCTATCTTCAATTATATTAACGTATTTTCATTAAAAACGTATTTTGAATTAATGCAGTTACTACTACTACTACTAATAATAATAATAGAAGATATCTGTACTCATTCAATCGAAGTTAGCTGAGGACATGCAGGGGTAAAACAGGTAACATGAAAACCCATTTCTTACCACAATTATTTTGCAGCTTTTGAAATTCAATATGTCACATGAGTAAAAGAGGATACATTTATGAAAATGTTTCGCTATTTGCGTAAATTTTGACTATATGGTGGACCCAATTATCAAGTTAAATGACTGTTAAACAATCAAATTATTATTATTATAATTATTAAGTGAAGTTTGCATTAGATTGCTTGAAAATTGAGGGAGATTTTAGTTTAAGATTTGTGTTGAAATCGATTTTTCGTTTTTTTCGGTTTTTCGCTAAACACAGTGGTGTAGAAATAAAAGTGAGGTGTCATTGATCTCGTCAAGTTACATACATACCGAGTTTGAATGAAATCGGAAGAAAAATGTTAAATTTATCGAATTGATCGGTTTTATTGATTTTTTAAATTATCGATTTTTTACGCTACGAACCTATCTCTTACATCGGTGACAGATATCTCTTATATCTAGAGTGACAGATATCACACAGACAAACATCCTCTGTATATATATATATATATATATATATATATAGAGAGAGAGAGAGAGAGAGAGGGAGATAACTTCACATATGACGATTTCATTAACTCAAAATCCATAGCATCTTGCCAAAGCGAAAAGTGTATTTTTACCAATAATGTCGAACTGGACATGTTGCATCTCTCATCGAAACTCCAACGCAATAATTTTTCAACAACATTTTCACATGTACTTAAAATTTGGCCCGTTTCAAGAGCTTCAATGTAATTTGCTAAACCAGACCCTTACATTATATGACATTGATAAATCATTTATTACAGTGCAAGCGACCATTACCCACAACCTGTATTTATTTAATATACATTCTCATCAATTATTTGATTGAACATCTATTTAAATTTATATTTTAACAGCGCAAGTGTTTTTATATAGTTTCGTGTTTTTTTTTTCCAGATGCCAAATCTAAATGAAAAAAAACTTCAATAAATCAACAGAGAGAAATAATAATTAATTGAAAACTTGGAATTTATTATTCAGTAGGAATTGGAGAGAAAGTTGTTAAATTCACGAATTTCGCTCAGAAATTCAGAAATTCGAATTATTATAAATTGGAATAAATTTCTTTGTCTTAATCGTGCGAAACCATTGTATATTGGCGCTTTCCGAAGAATATTCTCGAATTTATGTCTTGCCTTTATTCACATTTCGGAAGCGCCACCTTCTTGATGCATTATGGAATCTTGAGCCTAAATCTGAACTATGTGCTTTCTTTCTCCTACATGTTACATCCGGCATCTTTATTTGTAAATACTTGGAATTCTCCTTCTTTGGTTTGGCATATTGATTAACGAGAGATCTAAAAGAATCTCACTCACTAGCACATGAAATAAAATTTTAAAAAAAATAACTGTTTCTGAATTTCGTCTTCTGTGACGACTAAACTACAAGAGGGCATGGTGGTGTAGAGAAGGATAGTTATAAGTTGTCAAAGACAGTGTGTTTATGGAAATGGAAACAAACTCATCAAAGCTTGGGTCCACAATCCGAATTCTACCCATGCAAGATAGAATACATTATAAGCATAAGAAAATAAACCTGCAGGAACTTATATGAAACGGTCATTAATTTTTTTTTTAATTTTTTTTTTTTTTACGGCATATCAATTTAAATGTGTTATTTAATGCAAACAACTTTGTTTTTCCTCGTAATATTTTTCCTCAAATGTGTATAGCTGGTAATATTATTTTAAAAGATGTATTGCTGGAAATATTTTTTCCAGAAGAATATATTGCTGGTAATAGTTTTTGTTTTTTTTTTTCTTCAAAAATTAATTTCTGGCAATAAATTTTACAACGTATTTCTGGTATTAAGACCTATTTTTACACTTTTATAGTGCATTTTAGCTCAGCTTCGGGGTTAACTATTTTCCCATTGCTGGGACCCTAACTGGTACTACCACCGCGGGTCAGGGTGGAGCTGGGAACAACAGCAATTCAGAGGTCCTTCCACGCTCCTCAAAACCTCCTTTCTGTTGGACGTAGTTTATAGTCTTACCCTGGACGCGGATGTAGTTTATCATCATACCCAGGACGGCGTAATTTGGCTCCATTCTTTAAGAGCAAACGTTGCTTATACGGTGTTATTTTAATTATTTAAATAGCATTTCATTGACATTTTCGAAATAGCGAGAAGTAGTAAATATCAATAATAAGAAGACGGAATGCATGTTTGTTATTAAACGGAACAGTTAAAGATGCTAACTAGCAAATGAACAATTTTCTAGGAATTGTTCTTTTTTGTACAGTGGAAGGGAAAATGCGACACTGAAATCTGAAGACAATTGAATAGCGAAAAATGCCTATCAAAACAAATCTTTAAATATCAGAAATATTTCGTTAGAAAAAAAGAAAAAGGGGCTAAACCATTATGTACTACCCCCTATAAGCCAGTGAATGCTAGGCAATCTCATCTCAGATGAAGAAGAGACTAGATACAAGGGAAAGGTGGTTCTACAGAAGGATTTTGAGAATAGCATGGACTATTTCTTTTTAGTAACGATGATGTTTTAGGGGAAAAAAACACTTATACATAGAATCAAAAAGAGACGGTTGAAATTGTAAGGTCAAATATTGAGGAAAGAGGGCTTGGGAAAGTTGATACTCACAGGACATTTTGAAGGTAAAAAAGACAGATGTTGTGTGAATTGGTTGGTAGGACAGAGAATTGAAAAGAGATACCAAACTAATCATGCATGACTTCATAAGCGCTACAAACGAGATGAAATTGTAGAGAAGCATGATCACCTAAGCGTTGAAGAGACACGGTACATAGGCGTTGATGTTCCAACAAATAATCTCATCTAGATTTTTTTTTCACTGTTTCAGTTGCTTAAATGAAGGATTCATTTCGAAATTCCAAAGACAGACAACGGAAGAAGACCGGAGGTAAGAAATACCAGAACTTCGTTAATATCAACCAAAATGATCTAACAGTTCTGAATACCAAAATTCATGCTAAAACAGCGGAAATAGATATATTTCCCGTTGCCTTCAACTGAGCGATTAAATGTGGTTTCATTTATCTGGCTGGGAATCAGGATGATTGAAGAAATATTGAAGGCAGATGCAATTCTTAATGCAGACTATTTGTACAGAATTTTTATTTTTATCTGAGTATCCATAAATTTTCTTAAAGAAGAAAGTTACTGTTATATTCTTATAAACAGATTCTATTTCCTTTACAAAAGCGTGAAGTGAATAATTAAAAAAAATAAAGTTTTATACTTTAAAATCACACTAGTATTAAGCCATGAAGATTTCATGGTTTTCCTATTTCTAAATTTCTGATGATTAATTTTTCAGTTAATGAGTGATTAAACTCATGGCGAGTTCTACAACGATAAAATATCCGTTGAAAATCTATCACATGGTGAAATATTTGAGTTAAACTTTAACAAAATATTGTATTAACAAACATAAATGTTGGTCGTTCATTTAAGTAAGGAGATACAAATGAAAAAAAATTGTTAAGAAAATTGAAATTGACCACATTTTTCATTTCACTGAACGAAAACTTAAATAATTCTATTTTTCTTTGTTTCTTATACTGAAACCATGTAGCGTCTTTAATTTGTATTTTGTCACATCAAGGGATCAAAACGGAAGTCCATTATTTATGACGTAGTGATGGGGCTTAATGATCGGGCGAACTAAAGATCAAACAAAATGAGGAACAAGTAAAATTATTATATGAAAACTTTTCTGACAAGTATTTTCGGAACATATGATATCATGATTCTCCATTTTGTTCTTTATATTGATTTTAGCTGAATTACTTTGAGAAAGATAATGGTTTCCTGTAAGCCACTCCATGGTGTTGAATACAATATCGTTATTTTCTTAAAATAGCCATTTCTGAGAAGACAACGCAATATATTACTATTTAACCATTCGCTGAAGGGGGTGACGGCTTTGTATTTTTAATCCGGAATTTGAATTTAGCTATTAAACTGAACTTCCCAATTCAAAGACCGTTAGTCAGCACACGTCCGATTTCATGAAATACATTTTAATCGTCGTATTGATAACTCTTAAAAAGTAAAAGATATTTTTGCGCATGCGTCATTATTTTGTTGTTGGGTGAAGTTTTGCAAAAATTGAATCTATACATATGAACATGAAGTGGTTAACATTCTTTTTTTTCCGATAGCTTCGAAAATGTGAAACGGAGATTGAACTTTATTCACGATTAAATTGCAGTTATGACCAAAGAAATTCGGAAGAAAATCTAATCTTGCTTGAAAAAAAAAATAAATAGGCAAAATTCACTTTATCGCCAAAATATTTGAAACATTAAAAGTGACGATTTACGGCTACATCCAGTTGAAACCCCGGCTCTCGTACTATCACCGAAGTTAAGTAACCTCGAGCCCGGTCAGAACCTAGGTGAGTGACTGCTTGGGAATACCAGGTGCTGTAAACTCCTATGTACCGATGATGTCATGGATAATAATAGTACTATTTTTTTTTTAATCTGAGAGAGTTTCAATTTCATTTATATTCATAATATACACAAATACCCTTACAATAAATTATGAATCAACCTCTTCTTCTCCCAGCTATGTGTTAATTATTAAATTCGTACCACTAAAAGCATTATCTCCAAAAACAAAATAAAATTGCGTACAAAATGTTGAGATTTCGGCCTTAAATAATCCATAGAGTTTGATATGCCGCTAACCATATTCAAATAATTAACACAATACGAGGGAGTTCACAGTGAAAAAGCTACACATTGTATAAAATTAAACGTGTGCTTAGTTCATTGTCTGCAATAGCCATATTTGTACCGAAGTCTGATTGTTCTAAAAATCCGTTAATCTAACGTCCATCTTATCTTATGCGCCACGTATTATTGAGCCCCAAGCTAGAAAAGCCGACGCTAAAATATTAATTATGCATTTGATACTTATAAGCAAAGTAAGTCAGCTCATGTTTTCTTATACATTAATTCAAAGACTTAAATTCCTCCGGACAGTTAAAACCTGAATCCATCTGCATGACTTGTCTACATAAAAATCATTCAGGTTTTATCAAGCAATATTTTATCTTAATGACTGACTAGCTTAAGATTATTTCATATCCCTCTGTCGTCAATTTAAAATGATCCATTCGGTTTTTTTTTATGTATTGGTAGCATTCTGTTTAATGTTCGTGTGATTTATTTAAGATTAAAACATGGATATATCTAATTAAGCATATTATGTGAAATAAGCCGGCAACAGTTTCAGCTAATGCCATGGAGGATATAATTTGGAAAATGTTTTTAAAAATACATTCATAGAAATATAAATAGTAATGTATTCTTTCGCAAGCCGTTACTACTTGAATAGACTTTAACAAACGATTTACTATTAAATTTTTTTCAGTTAAAGTCTTTAGGATCAATTTATACATTGGCTACATTAATATTTCTTCATATGCCACACGGTAATGGAAAGGTTGGTGTTTAAATTCACATAGAGGTAAGTGATTCGAAGTTAGAGAATCATCTTCAGATAGATTTTCAGACGGAATATTAAAATGACCCCCCCATATCTATCTCTCTCTCTCTATATATATATATATATATATTATTTCAATAAGGAGCGTAATGGTTAACAATTTGTATCAACATACTATATATATATATATATATATATATATATATATATAGTACAGTTTACAGATCCGTTGGTATATAATTCAGGTGCATCCTCATAATATCAACTATTAAAACTGATCCACAAATAGAACACAATGTATTAATTATAACAGTCTATGAATTTCAATGCAAAAAAAACCCCCTCCAAAATTACTTCATTTAGGTTTAGATCTTTTTCAACCAACGTTAAGTAAGTTGGTCGTATTTAACCCTGATGAACCAGGGTTGAATAAGACCAACGTACCCAAAAAGACGACTGAAATTTTGGACATGATTTTTCTCAATTAGGAAGAGCCAAATTAGTCCATGTCTGAATCGATAACAACAAATTAAGGTCAGTGCCATTTTACCTCACTGCAGTCGCCCGAAAGACTATTATCATCACAAAACCTTACTTTACATACTTGTTTGGAAATGAATAAAAGTAAATATTACTTGAAATTCTCAAACATTTCTCAATTTTACCGAATCGTATTGATACACATGAATCTTTTATCAGTAAATTTCAGCGTATATCATTTCGAGAAATTCCCGCAGTTTTAAAGTGTCTTATTATTATGCATTGTCATCCATCTTATATGTTCCCTCACAGCATTTTCGTCAATGTGATGCCCTACCTTTTTTTTTAATTTTAAATAATTCAGCTATATTCAGATGCACTTCCTAATATCGGTTGTGCTTTAAATTAATATTTAGCTTAAATATATTGCGGGGTAACCCTTCCCTATCTGTTGGCTGAGTGAGGAATACATCTAATGTATTCGTTGAAGAGAGTCATATTCCAAGCAAATATAAAATCACTTCTTGGATAGGTGGCAAATTATTACCTAACCGTTCAGGACTACGCAAAGTAAATGTTTATCGAGCGATACAAGTATATAAATTTTTTAAATCATTATCAAAATCCAAGTATATAAAACAACCAATGTTTGCCTATCTCACCCAGTATAATACCAAAACAAGATTCCGATATTAGATAACCGAATAAGAGTGTGTATTTCCAAACCCGCTGTTGACTTGGACTGTCTGACCAGTCTGACATTCTGGAAATCACTTTTTCCAAATCAAATATGGTGAGGTTGAAATATAAGTCTTATGATCAGAAGGTTATCGCTCTAAACATTCTGGCATGCTCCTACACATCATATTGGTATAAATCACTAGCAATATTGATTTTCTCTCCGTCTTATATATATATATATATATATATATATATGGGTGGTGGAGAAAGCGCTAATTTGTAAACACTCACTACTACTGCTGATAATACATGACTCTCCGGCTGGATTGAGTCATTGGCGTGCTTATGAAAAACAAATACGCAAAATTCGCCTCTCTGCCAGGGTTAGAATCTCCGATTGATACCAAGTAAGTCGTGTTTCGGTCCCGGCTTGAAGCGATCGAATGTCTAAACTCACTAATGGCCTGTGATACAGCGAAACAGTCTGCCTGTGGATAACTATATATATATATATATATATATATATATATATGTGTGTGTGTTTCGATGCGTATCAAATGCATCTCACCAGGCGATATTGAATTACTGGCGAGTGAATGATCTATTTAGATTTAAAAGCAAAATACAAATTTAATAAAATTGTCCTCCTTTGTATTAAGCCTCTTAAATTAATTGTACTATTCGTTCTTATATATATAAAATGGAAGGTAAGTGTTTTGATTTTATTATGTGAAACATTACTTTTAGTGTATACTTGTATTTGAATAGATGTTCCGTTTATTTATACAGTAATTATTTCATCTACTGACCGGCGTCTAAGAAAAGTCGAAATACTCTTTAAAATAAACGGAATATGTAATCAAATAAAGTGTATCCACTAAACGTGTTTCCAGTAATAAAAAAAATAGAATGTATTAAGTCTCTGGAAATAGTATCGTGTATATGCTCTTAAGTCAACATCTACAGGCTACGATAAATAAATTGTCGTCTAAATTACGCAAAAATGAAAATAACACTGACATCTCATTTTAACAGATCTACCAAAATTACATAAAAATATCTTGAAAAACTAAAGAGCATATTTATTTAATGAAATCGGCATTCACGGCCTCCAGACGAATTCGGAATCTCCTGCATCTCTTCTGGATGGTTTAAGTTGGTGATTACTGCCATAATCCTTGCCTTCATGTTTAGTATTAAAATAAGTTTTGGTGATCTGTCACTTAACTGCGTCCCACGCATAATAATAAATGGAGTTTCATCTGGGGAGTTAGGTGGCCATCTGCAGGGGGTGATGTAGTCGCATAAATTGTCTGACAGCCATAAATGAGTTTCCTTGCTTGTATGGAATGGCGCAGAATCATTTTATCAGACATAGAGTCTTCCAAAATTCATCATCTTGAATGAGGGCAGCACGACCTCCTCAAGACATTTAAAGTAGGCCTCAGTGTTGAGTCTGAGGCCCTGTGGGAAGATGAACAGAGGCATAGCGTCGACATCACTAGTGATCACTCAAAACACTTCCGTAATCACTCATCCAACCCTTTTCGAATCCTCAGCACTGTCTTCAGATTGACACCAAAACTACTCTTAAATGTTCGTATTGGATTATCCAGCGCGAATGCTAAACAGTACAGCATGAAGTTTACAAGTTTCTGGCGTAGTGAATTGCAGCATGGGGCTCTTTTTCTCACAGACGGTACCCAACTGGCCCTATTATACTATGTAGTAGAAAAAACATGCGCATGCGCGAAATTAAAAAAATGTCATGGCGACAATATGTCCACCGCACTCTGCATATTAACCGTATTTTCTAAGCGTAATGATGAATTACAAAATACCGAACGGGGACATTGTGTTACAAACAATATTACAAGTGATTAGTCTCTTATTCATAGTTAATCTACTTAACTGAGCAAAGTCCAAGAAATTTAGAGACGAGAATATTAGGTTAGTTTTACTTGTGTCCCAACATCCTTCACTAAAGCACAAGGAATGCCCAATTTCATTCTGAAAAAACAAAAACAAAAACTGCTCAATTCCCTCTGCCCTGAGGCAGGCCTTCAGAAATGCCATTGATTCATGAAAGCACAGTTGGACAATAATATTCTTCCTACGGTATTGGTGAGATGTCTGCCTCTAAACTTTTGACCCATTTGATTTTACAGGCATAACTGCAATAAATTTGGTTCAACAAATTGTGATTCAAGCGTGAATAAATATGATCATGTATATGCATTATTCTCTTGTGCATGATTGCAAGCAAATGCATATGTAGACTATGCGTCTTAAGAATTAATTGATGCGTATGGATATACGCGTGTTATGTGAACAGGTTCTTCTCTACCAATTATATCGCTGAATCAGAGAAATATAAAACGTCTGCGCACGCATAACCGGGCATATATTTACGAATTAATATCCTTCAGATGCATAGGCAGGAGACATATAATCCCACTGGCAAAATGAATAAACAAGAATTTCAAAACTTGGTTATTCTCCATCTTACAAATATTGTTCTTTCTTGAGCGACAAAGGTAACAGCGAATCCATGCCTAATTAAGAGGTTGCTCCGACTAAGCGACGTAATATTTAAATTTAGATATATGCATTTTCAATATTCCGATCATCTTGCTAGCGGAAGAGTTCATCAATTTTCTCCATATTTAATTAATTAAATAAAAAAAAACACTTTTACTGAAAGACATGACCTACATATATTTCTTCTTCTATATGCTGCGTCCCTCAACGTCCTATCATCTGTGGCCCATAATGATTTTTATCCTGTTCTCGTTCTGCTATCCACACAAATCTC